TTTCTCCGTTCAGTCATCAAAGGGTTTTTAGTGAGTAAACGACAGATCAAATGCAGTGTCCGCTTCTTTCATGAAGAGAATGCGCCTTGATCTGCGACGTTTGTTGCTTTCGACTCTTTGTTCGTACCTAATTTCGAAAAGTGTTTGAAGAAAGAACGCTTCTGCAATTATTGGCTCTTCAAAAGAGTAAAGTCAGAGACGAACGAGTTTGCAGAGTTGTGTTTTGAAACGACGTCTTTACTTTGATGTAACCGTGATATATATCAATATATTATATTCATCTATACATTAGTGGACCAGTAGGTTCGTAGCCCGAGACGTAGTTATTAGGCGAATTTAATCTGAAATTTTCACTGTATAATGTTCAATCTATGCGATTAATATTTGCGATTAAATAAATTCATTAAAAAAGGAGGAAATTATATTGAAAAATAAATGTTTTATAAAATATTGCTTCTTTATCATTAAGTTATGGTCTTATTGATGTACCTCTCACTCTCTCTTTCTCTCTCTCTCTCTCTCTATATATATATATATATATATATATGTGTGTGTGTGTGTGTGTGTGTGTGTATAAGCGTTTTATAAGCATATTCATTATTGAAATTAAAATTACTGTGGTAACGGCTAGAGCAATTGTTTGTTTTCTATTTTCTATAAGTTATTAAAAAACAATTCGCTTGAAGATGGAACAGAGCTTAGTACTTTAATTCAATTTAATTCAAATAATTATATTGAAATTTTCGGCTCTTGTTTTGAAACATGAGAACTCTTATGTAGCGTCGGAATGATATTTTTAAATAAATAATTATATTTATGCTATACTTTTGTATCGAGCACTATTTTTTAAAAATAATAACAAAAATACTAAAGAACTTTGGATTATTTACCTAACGAATTCTTTCCTTTTTTCTCTATATTTTTATACACACACACACACACACACACACACACACACACACACACACACACACACACACACATATATATATATATATATATATAAATAAAAATGTTTGCTCAATATATTTAGTGTACATTATTTCTGTGCCTGGAATCAGAGTTCGAACCAAAGTAAAAGCCATGATTTTAAGAAGTTGCGTGATAACGACTATAAATTTGGGTTTAATTCAAATATATTAATATTTATCATTTATCATTTTTCACTCGTGTATTAGTCGTTTCTTTAGCTAACAAGCCATGAATTGACTTGTGACTGGTGTAAAAGTTGGCTTTAATTTTTATTTATTAGATTCAAAAAACAAACCCCAAAAGAACATTTACCACTAGACACCAAGGAACCTGATGGGGGCCAAAAGTAAACTTTTCTTATTATTGCATTTTAAATTGAAAAACTGGATTTTTATTTTAAAATATTGTAGATTTCCATTCATTCGGTCAGTTAAGTTTACATATTGTTCTATACTATATAATATTTTGTTTTGCAATTCAATGTTTTTCCAATAATGCTTATAGTAAATCAATTACTAGGTATCTTACTAAGAAGGTTCGTACTAGACAATTTTTCACTCCAGAATTTATCTTACATATTTATAAGTTTACTATGGTTTGAATATTGCTGCCACATATGGTCTGATGTTCCTGCTATATAGTTAGAGATTCTTGATAAACTCGAAAGAAGAATCGGCAACGTCCTGACGTGGCATCTCGGCTTCAGTTCCTTCCCACCGCCATAACGTAGTTTCCGTCGGACTTTTCTATCAATTCTTTCATGGTAATTGCTCAGATGAACTTTCAGTTATGATTCCTAGACTTTATAAATTTAAGCACAGTACTAGATTGGTAAAAAGTCTCGCATATAAATTATTCGAAAAAATTTATTCGAATATATATATATATATATATAATTTATTCGAAATTTATGACACAAATATGTTATAAAATCACTACAAAATTACCCATTTTGTTTCAACACTTCTGGTATCTTAATTTTCGAATAAATTATATATATATATATATATATATATATATATATATATAACCATATATATAATTGGTATATACGGAATGAATTCCAATAACCAAAAATTACTATACTTAAAAGAGTGCTCAATACAAAGTAGAGCAGATATAATTACTATTTATAAAAAAATTATAACATAAGTATGCTATAAAAATTATATATATATAATAGATGGGTTGGTTAATAAAACAAGTGTAAACTAAAGGATACAAATGTCATCAGTTCAAAAGATAATTATTAAATATTAATTATTAACCACAAAACAAAAAATAAAGCACGGAAATTAAGGTTTTAAGTCCGGAATTTTCGGGCACGCCTGTGTCCTTCATCAGTGGCGCGAAAAATAAACAGAGAAACGGGAAAGACTCAACAACTGCTGGTGTGATTGCTTGTGTAGATGGTATTATTAGTAAAATCCAATCTCTGTTTGATTTTCATTGTGCAAAACTTCTTGTCAAAAAAGTCAAATATATATATATATATATATATATATATATATATATATATATATATATATATAAAAACCTTCTTAAGTTTCATTTTTATGTCTAATACATTTATATTATGAGGAATAAAAGAATGTCATCTATGTATCTTATAAGCAGCGCTATATAGAGGCCGTCCTTTTATTATATCCTCATAATATAAATCTATTAGACATAACAATGAAACTTAAGATGGTTGAACCTACCACTGAATTTACAGATGAATTTGAAATATATATATATATATATATATATATATATACGTGTGTGTTTGTTTGTTTAACGGCGTATCAACTCCTTATGGGCTATTTAATGCTGAAATTGAATTTTTTTGTGAGCTTTGAAGTAATGAAAATATGATATAGGTCATTCTGCTTTTGCAATTGCATTCATGGAAGAAGATAATCAGCTTTTGTGCATAAACATGTTTGCGTGGACATGATTACTAGTGGCGGTGCTATGCGTTTTATGTTGAAGTTATATTTTGGAATACAGTTTAATTTAAGTAATAGTAGGATATTATAGGGATTAATGTCCCGAAAGATTTATTTCATATTTTTTGTTCATTATCATTTTAAACGGATTTGGCTGAAGTTGGTACAATTTGTAGTATGGATTTTATTGGGTATAGTTCTAGGCATGACGCGCAGATTGAAAGTGGTTCTTGTTTTAGAATATAAGAATATGTTATCATAGAGTGTCCGATATGGAGTTTGGACATTATTACTTCATCCTTCCTTGTTTTTAAGTGTTTGGGGCTATTCTTCTGCAGTATGTTTGATGTTGTATAATTTAATATATTGCTGGTGTTTTTACTATAAAAATATATTTTTATACTCTCATAGTGATTTGAAATTCCCTATTTGCCTGTAGCTGGGACTCTAACAGGTGCTACCACTCTAAATCAGGGTGGACCTGTGAACAACATCAATTCAGAGGTGGTTCCACACTCCTCAAAACCTCTAATCTCCCAACCAGAGGCCTTGTTGCCGGATGTAGTTTATCGTCGTACGGAGATTTATCGTTTATCGTATATATATATATATATATATATATATATATATATATATATATATATACTACTATGCGGCATTCACCCTGGCGGATTGAGCCGGCTTCTTCCTGTTATGAGAAGAAGATTTTTGGGATAAATTACAGAAGTAGGGTACCCAGGCCTACTCGAATAACGTTCTTGCTTGCCGCGGGATTCCCACAGACGCAGACACAGGAACGACCAGAAGCCGCCGGTTATCGATGCAGACGCTCTTTGGATTTTCACCAGAGCCCTTGTTAGCCGGCGTGTGTGTCAGACCTGTCCGCCTTGGGTGGCCCTACCAGGAACGAAGTTCCGGGCGGCATAGCTCTGACACTACTGTTTACCCCCCCCACCGACTGTGAGGTAAGGGTTGGACTTTGGGGCTTACAGTACCAGGTGTTCCCCAAGCGGCCCCCCATATATATATATATATATATATATATATATATATATATATATATATATATATATATAATATGACGAATTACTCTCTAGTGGTATAAAAGATTCTCAAGATACATTATGAAATACATTTTTAATAAAACTGAAATTCGTATATTGTATTATTTCAGATAAATAAATAAACGTATAATGCAAAAAGTTCGCTAACATCCGTTTTTTCATAATTTAAATTATGAAAAACTTGACTTGCATGATAACACACGCACACACCCACACACACACATATATATATATATATGGGAAATTTGCATCCACTGAAAATTTGCGCCCAGATTTTTGCAACATTTCACATTTATTGGCAGCTCTATTATAACAATGTAGGATGTAGTGATGAAAAGATAAGCTAAAAGACAAAAGAAACTAAATGAATTCGCCTAGACTATATACCCCAAACATTAAAAACTTAAATATGAATTTAAAATTTCAGTGTCCCCTCTCCTTCAAGCACATGTGTAATCGCATCAGCGTAAACATCACTTTAGTCCGATGAAGTCCTAAAGTATAAAACACTTCACAAGAAAATTGTTTTCCACTTTGTTATCGATTTTCCTAATGCATGCAGTGGAACATCGATTATCGGACATAAGCCGTTTTTGAAAGTCGTCCGAAAACGGAAATGCACGAAAACCGAAGCAAAAATAGAAAAAAAGAAAAGAAAAAGATAATGTAGAACCAATTAATCCGTTCCACACAACCCAAAATATTAACAAAAATACATTTTATACAGAATAATAATTCTGGAGTTATTTCCCTTCTCTGCCTCTTAGCACAATTAGAATGTTCTTGAGACTGACTGGATCCTTCTCTCACGAAAAACCTGTCCAGTTTATTTTTGTCTCTTATAAAAAAAATTGCCTGAAATGTGACAAGGCATTGTAATTAAATATATTTACGATGCGGCTTGCAACAGCTTTGTTAGGGTGATAATTTTCAACAAAACTTTGCACCTGACTCCATTTTAAACAAATGTTTTTAATCACTAAAGAAGGCATCTCCCGCCCCCACTTCTCTGTCTCCTTCTCTTTCTCTGAAGATATTTGTTCAGCTGCCGTTTGTTGCTGTCCCAGCCGAAGGTTTGGAGTTCTTCAGTGACCAGTTCTTCGCTGTGGTCCTACACCAACTCCTCCATATCCTGTCCACTCACATCCAATGATTTCCCCAAAGGACACTCGGAACTTTCTTTGGACCGAAGTCGGATTATTTAACAGTAAAACTATATAATAATAATAAGAAAAAACACAGACTGAAGCACTATTTGAAACGAAAAATTTCGGATTAATGCTAAGGGAGATCCTCACTTAGCGAGAGCCAAAGGAAGACGGAGTCTTGTACGCACGTGATGTTTTGTATGGGATCTTGGCCTGTGAATGTTTTTTTTTTTTAACATTCCTGTTCGCTAAGCATTAAACTTTCAGGAATGCACAGGTTCGTAACGAACGGATTTCCTTGCTCGATAGCAGAAGAGATATACAATTTCCGAGACATTTTCGCCGAAAAAAGTGAACGACAACCAAGGTTCCATTGTACATACATGCATACATATATTTTTTTCTAAAAATAGTAACGTATTTTTATTTATCAATACTACAGATTTTTAACACGTTATTTTAATGGATACTCATATTTGAATAGACGTACCGTTTATTTATTAAACAGTCATGTTAAATCTTGTTAAAGAAAAATATGAGCGCTCCGGCCGGATTCGAACTTGCGTAACCTCTGGAGAGAGAGAAAATGTTAAATGCGACGTGCGTTAACTGACTCGGCCACAGAGCAGCCCGGGCACTTTAAGCGAAATCCTTCTCGTCATTAATTCCTTGAAGTTTTCAGCTCTGCTGAGTTTCGTATTGAAATGCAAAGTCATTTTATAAAGTAATATATTTTTATTTATCAATCCGACAGAACTTTATCACTTTAAATGCTTGCTATCTATCTATCTATCTATCTATCTATCTATCTATCTTCATGGTAATTGTTCGGATGGACTCTTCTTTATGGTACCAAGACTTTTTGAATTTAATCCCAGTACGAGACTGGCATTGAGATCTAATCAATTTAAAGTTGATTTGGCTAGATGTAACCTTAAATTTTATGCTAACGGTTTCTTTCTTCGCACTTCTCGCTTGTGGAACTCATTTCCGGCTCCATACTTCCCTGGCAACTTTAATCTTAAAATAATTAATGTCAGTCGCTATCTTTCCACCTGATTACTCTTCTTTTGCTTTCGCTCATTAGGAATGTTTCTGTTTCTAATTCTTTAACATCCAGTACCTCCCCCCACCACGAGTCTTAGTAGCTTTACTGCCTTGTATAGGGTGTAATAAACTAATATATATATATATATATATATATATATATATATATATATATATTATATATTATATATATACATAACATTAGAACATATAAGTATACTACAAAATTGTACATTTCGTTTTAACGTTTAAAATAAAACGTGCCTTAAGGTGGCTAACAATGTTTGTAATAAACAATCTTATTTAAAATTGCAACTAATGAAACATCACTTCATTATTAGAAAATTTTCCATAAAAGTAAAAAAAGGATTTATATAAAGAAAAAGGAAGGAAAATAAGAAATCAATAAAAGAAAAAGAAAGAGGAAAGAAAAGAAAGGCAAAAGAAAGCATAAGAAGCTTACTACCAAGAGAAAAGACAAAAAAGAGAGACAACAGAAATAGAGAAGTGTATTCAAAATTACACAGATACACAGAAAGAGGAAAGTTAGTAAATTGAAAGATGTTCATACGAAGTAAGCCAATGAAATTAAGTTGAATAAGAGAATTCAAATTTGAACGGAAATGTGTAAATGGATACATTGTTTAACAATATCGCATTTCAAATTTTATAGCATTTTAGATGAAATCATTCAAACAAAATCATCAATAGAATATATATAGTCTAGCCGATTTCATTGACGTTATTTTTATTCCTTTTTTTCACTTAGTCATAGATTTTCCTAAAATTGTTCTTGATATATAAAATTCATATAACAATTTCCCTATATATATATATATATATATATATATATATATATATATATATATATATATATATTTTTATTTAAAAATATGATTACAACGCTACATAAGAGTTCTCATGTTTCAAAAACAAGAGCCAAAACTTCAATATAATTATTTGAATTAAATTGAATGAAAGTACCAAGCTCCGTTCCATCTTCAAGCGAAATTTCTTTAGGAATAACTAATTTCTACTGGGTTGTCCCAAAAGCTTGTTCACATATTAAGTAGAAAATTTACTTCATAAAAACCAAACGAACTGTTTAAACAACCACAACCCAATATATATATATATATATATATATATATATATATATATATATATATATATAATATATATATATATATATATATATAACTGAACTCAGTGGAAGAATTTAATGTAAAATAGTTTTGTTCTTCATGAGAGAAAAGTATCTTAAATTTAACTTTTGTTGCAACCGTTCTTTAGAAGATAAAAATTTCACCTTTGGAAATAAAAATACTTTTTGTGCTTTCAAGACGCAATCTTTACCAAACCTTTCCCCACACAGTATATTTTCTAATTTCTTTTTTCATTGGAAACTTACAAGGAATAAATGAAATCTATTTTGTATTTCTTTTACGCTACTAATTGCTCATGAACAGTTTTTCGGTGTGATAACGTAATTCATTAAAGCTTGAATATTCGCTATAAAATCATGAGTAGTCATAGGATTCTACCTCAGAACCCTTTAGATATATAGCCCTACTCTGGTCTTTTACGTAAACTTCAGGGGTTACGGTATTACCAGACGATAATTTGATTTCCTCCAATCATTCCTTTCAAATCTTGAAATGAAGGTCGTTCTGAACGGTCATGCTTCAGATCCTTTCTTATGAATGTGGGTGTTCCTCAAGGCCCTATCCTAGGTCGTTCAATTTTTCATCAATGATCTTTCTGATGTCATCAGCTTCCAAGTAGGCATCTATGCAGATGACACTAGCATTTACTCTTGTCTCAATCGTAAACCCGTCAGCACTGGCCATTGCTTTCGATCAGTGGTCAGCTGGGGTAGGAAATGGCTTGTAAATTTTAATGCCTCCAAAACGAAACTGCTCTTATTTAGCCACCACAGAGATAATTCTATGCTCGTCATTAGCATGATTGTTGCTAAACTCCAGGAGATTGTCCCACTGCATCTTCTTGACCTCACGATTTCGAATGACCCGAAGTGGAACAACTATAGTGAATCAATAATTGCATCTGCTGCAAGGAAAGTTGGCTCACTGTGTGGTACCAGAAGGATTTTCTCGTCAGAGTCCATCTTACATATCTACAATTCTACCATTCATCCGTGCATTGAATATTGTTGCCATATCTGGTCTGGTGCACCGACTGGTCATCTCGAGGTTCTCGACAAAATCCAAAGAAAGATCTGCAATGTAATCAATCTGGATTTGGCATCATGGCTCCAGTCCCTTTCTCACAGACCTGAAGTGGCTTCCCTCTATCTTTTCTACAAATATTTCCGTGGCTACAGTTCTGTCGAGCTTTTTTCCCTGGTACCCCGACTGCATAAATTTAAGCGTGCTACTAGACTAGTATCTAGGTCCCGCCCTTTTACCGTTGAAATAGTTAAATGTAGCCGCCACTTTTATTCCAACAGCTTCTTTTCCCGCCCTTCCCGCCTATGGAAAGCCCTTCCGTTTACTTGCTTCCCTGATTAACTACAATCTTCAATAATTTAGATGGAAAGTTAATTGCCATCCTCTGATGTCTTGAACCACGTTCATCTTTTATCCTTTTCACATTCCACCTATACACAGTTTTTTTTCTCTCACCTTAACTATATGTAACCCCCTGCGAACCAGTAACACCCCTGCTTTGCTTGGAGTGAAATGTTTTAAAAAATACATTGAGACTTCTTTATTATCCACATCATTTCAACCTCAACGCTAGAAAACGAGCGTAGAAAATCCAGAAATCTAAAAGTAGACATCAACGATATCACTTCTAACAATAACATAAAATTCATGAATCTACCCTCTGACACACTTTCTACAAAACTTTTAAATAAATTAGTTGTCTCTAATACAAGGCTTTTTTACCACCACGTCCAAGACAATCGGAGATATAATTAGAAAGAAAAATGAAACCAGGAACAATTCAGATGCCGGTACGTGTCAAATAAATAGCTTACAATGTAAAAGCATTCATATCAGAGAGACATTACGAAATCTAAAAGTATAAAAGTATATAAAAGATATTTACGTTTAGACAACCATTCAAACTCACACGTAATACACATGTACAAAACTGGCCATGGTATTGATTTTACAAATGCCATCCTAATTAAAAAAGAACATAAATCTTTACGTTGAAAATAATTCGATGGACTACTAATAACAATATTAAACAACTATAAACTCACGTCAAAAACATTATATCAGTAAATTTTATTGAATCCATTCTTAAAGGACCTAACATATTATTTTCATTTTTTTTGTGTGTGTGTGTGTGTGTGTGTGTGTGTGCGCGCGAGAGAGAGAATCATTTAGACGACAATTTATCCATCGCACCCTGCGCGCGCACACGCACACACACACATACACATACTCACATACTTACGAATATAGACTATCATCTGAATCCCACATAGACAAACTAGATATATTATACATTTATATGCATAAAGCAATATTTACGGTTTTTCATTTAGACGTGGAATCCGTTATTTTCTTGAAACTTCGAATGGACGCGTTGTCTCTCCTTAAATTCGGAACGCCACACTAACGCTTATTTAACAAGTAGAATACGAGTAAAACATGATGAATCAATGCAAACCAAACAATACAAAATAAAAATGTTAGATTGATAAATGTTTCCAAGGGTGTTCCAATAACATGGAGCGATTTTAAATGTGAATTAAGTTTAAGCGTCCAATGACTTTTTTTCTTTTTCTTTCAGATTTAACAGCTTAAGCCTTTGGCAATTTAAACCATAGAAAAATTAACAATCAAACAACGTTAAAATTATCGAAGCCTATTACGAAAATGGACGTTCAAACAGAAATACATTTCGCGCAATTCGCGATTTTTTTTTTTTTTTGGTTAACATAATCGACCAACTGAGAGTTCAATTGGAAACGATGTAACGTTGTTGTGGAGGGGTTCAATTCCTGCGCGCGATGACGAATAAAGGGGTCTGGATTTTCGACCACATTCTCGTGCACTGAAGCAATGTTTTCAGCTGAATGGCGTAAACGAGCAGGCAATAGTGTTTTCACATCTGCCAACGACCCAGTTTGTTTGAATTTACGAATAATGTTTCCAATTGCACTCTTGAAACTTTAACACATTGTTTGATTGTTAATCTTTCCGTGGTTTAAATTGCCAAAGACTTAAGTTGTTAAATCTGAAAGAAAAAGAAAAAAAAAAAAAAAACAAAAAAACAAACATTACACGCTTAAACTGGAACACCCTATATTTGTTCTTTATCTTATCATTTTGTTGGATTCTGATTAATATTTGATTTATGTTTGATCCTAATGCATATTGAAGTCATTGCATCTGCTTGTCATATCTATTCTATGTGGGTTCTACAACACATTTTTATAACTGTCATTCAATACCTTCCAGCCTACAAGCGTAAATAATATTATCATCAATATGCTAAAGATAAACTATTTGGAAATATTCCCATTGGAAACAGTAGTGAATTTTATTTCATTGTTGCCCTGTAGATGTTGTATTAAAATATTTCGGTTACTTTACTTTGTATTTGTGTTTCTTGATTTACTTCTATTAGTTGTATTTCTTTTTTCATGATTTTTATTTAATCAAAATGTGTATTTACTTTAGGCTAGAGGTGGCCAACCTTTCACATTCTATGCATCAATTTTTCTCTGCACGAGTTTAAGTGCACCATAAAATATTGTAGTCTCATTGATTCTATATTTGTACGTATATA